CTCTGAAACTCTTAACTCCTGCAGCTGATCTCAAAACACTTCTTTAATAAGCTTTCAGTTCGCTTTTCACATTACCTTTGCACACACCCACTCATGAAATGTGTTGTATTATTAGAATAATTTATTCATTTATATCCCCATCTTTCTACTCACCAAGGTAGTGCTTAAAATGACTACTGGCTGTATCCAAAATTCCTACTGTCATTGAGAGAGGCTGATCTGAACCTTGGTTGCTCACAGAGGAACTTGTGGATATAACTTTACTACAGGAGGGGTCTTGGTTAGGCAGGGCCTTGCTCTCTTTCTCATTCTGAGTGTGCTGGTTTCACTTGCTGGGTATGGCAGCACTGGTTCATTGTGGAATAGTCAAGTACCAAGGTAGCCAACAAGGGTCCCTTCAAATGTTCTTGGATTTTAATCCCCACCAGCCCCAGTTGGCATAGCCAATGCTCAAGATGTTCAACAACATCTGGAGGTCACCATTTTGGCTATCCTGAATCTAGAAGCACTCAAGCCCCTCCATATAGAACTGTGCACCCTTAGGTGTGCATAAGTTGGTCATCTGCATAGGACTTGGGTCCAGTAGAAAGTGTTTCACTTGGATCAGAGTTCAGATTGCAGCTTCCTTAAGGCTTTTGCAATTGCAGCCTATCAAGGAGTTTAAGCAGAATTTCAATGGACAGGGGTGTGATTTCAGGGCTTCCTGTTCGTTTGTCTCACTATCTGAGACCCAAAGAAGCAAATGTGTGCATCGTAATTGGGCCTCCTACCACAAAATGAATCCTGATTGATAATCAGCCACTTCTTAACTGATCAGCTGGTTGGTTAATAAAATAAATTTTCATGTTCTATATTTCTCTCGAGCTTACATTTTTAATAAAGGCTGCCACTCACTGTTAGAAAACTGTCTCAAATATTTCCTCTTTCCTTTCTTACTGCGGTGGCAATACCTGCAGCCAAAGAAAGACCTGGCTTTGATTCACCCTGGTCTGTTGCAAACTGCTGCTGGATACTCGAGTCATGGCTCTGCAGCGCTGGGTTGGGCTCTGTGCCAGTCCGTGCCGTGCTTGGGTAGTCTCCATTCAGTTTTGTGGTTTCCTCAAGAAGTTAATTGTGCTCTTTCTTTGCCCTGAAAGGAGAGCTGTCCATGCTTTGTTCTCCCAAAAGATCGGATTCTGCTTTCCAAATAAATTATGCAAATGGAAGTGCTACAAAATTGTCTTGTGCGCAACAAGCTCATGTTACTTTCTTTGTTCTGAACTCAAGTCCTTGAGGTTTTCTGGAGGGAGAAGCGTGGTGAAAATGGACTGTGCTGAGCAAAGGAACATGGGGACTGAATGGAGAAAGGGGCACAAGATTTCAAGGCCACGGCCCCAAACACACACAGCAGGCCAGTCGGCACGTGTTGTGCAGCACAATTGCTCCGCAAAGTGAATCGTTCAGTCCAAGCAGGGGTATAACTGATGTGCTCTTCCCCAGCATTTGGGATGTTGCCTAGCGGTGGGAAAGGAGATCCCCCCCCCAAGCTTTTAATCTCCGTCTGCCAAAAAACTATTGTCAAAAGAAGTGTTTGTGTTCACTTCTACTGGTTGGTGTAGATGAAAGGCTGGCTGGGGGTATAAAGAAGTGTGTTTCTCTTCTGCCCAACCCAAGCAATGAATGGCAATATGCATTTTTGATTTTGTCATTGGATTGTTTTATGTGGACGCTGAAAAAAATGCATAGCTTGACTCATCTTTTGTACGCAGCCTGTGGATAGCCTTGCCCTGAAACACAGCATGCAATGACTTTAAAAATAAATGTCAGCCTTCAAGCGAGGAATGAGGGGAGATGGGAAGGCCTGAATTCATTGTTTAAGCCTGTTGGTCAGCTTTGCCTTAGGGCAGGAGGGAGTGACTTGACCAAACTGGCCTGTTGGGCCTAATTCAGCCTGTGGGGCACATTTCCTATGAAGAATTAGCTGATTAGTGTTTTGCAGGCAAAAAAGTGGCCATCTGGTGTCATTGTGATGCCTGGTGATTGACAGGTGGGTAGCACTACCCACCTGTCAAACTTGGCCCACCACAGGTGGGGGTGATAAGCTGGCCAGATTCAGTTCCCCACCCTCCATTAGATGCTAAGGCTGTCCTAACTCCATTTACCTGGGAATTAGTCCCACTGAGTTCAGCAGGATTTACTTTTGAGTAGGCATGACTAGAAATGTGCCTTAAGTTTCCAGGTCTCTTCTGGGTGGTACACAGAACGGGAAAAGAGTTTGTGTAGGGCACAAAACCAAGAAACCCTGGGTGGCAGCTGCTGCCGTTAGCCAATACTCCTGCTTTGAAAATAGGCAGAGATTTTTCCACCCCACCCTGGTCTGTTAAACACACTTTAATTCAGAAAAGAATGGAACTGGAGGGTGTTTATAGGGCAGATGTTGGGATCGCTTCCAGTCTCCCGCAGAGATTCTTCTACCCAATTGGGGAAAAGACTGTAGCAAGAAGCAATGACTGTCCCAAAGCTGCTACATTGAGCATTTGTATTCTTTGTGGTTTCCCCGGCTATAAATTCAGATACTTTGCTCAGATCCTCCAAGTGTCTCTATTTTCCAAGGATGTCCCTGATTTAGAGAAGCCGTCCCAGTTTCTGATTTGATCCTGGAACGTCCCGCTTTTCCTTAGGATGTCCCTATTTTCATTGGAGAAATGTTAGAGGGTATGACTTTGCCCTGTTTTAAAGTTTTCTTTTTTTAAAGAATGCTGCACTGCAGACTAGCTACTGTACTTGCAGGCATGCAAATACCCATTTAGCTGATTGCCTGTGGTAGAAGAATCATCTCCAAATGCCCAGACAGGAAACTTAACAAAAGTCTTTCTTAATCTACAAAATGACTAACATAGTTTTTTTAAAAAATGTATGTGGGCTTGTAACGTTTTCTGGACTTGCTGGTACAGCTGCTTGGTCTACAGTGAGCAGTATAATCTCTGTGCTGGGCAGGACCATGCCCTCAGCTGACTCCTTTTCTCTGCAAAAGGATGGTTCTCAGTGATTGGTCACAGGAGCCCTGTTGGACTTTATCAAATAGATATTTATGGGGCAATTAGTGCCAGTCCAAGCAAGCTAGATTGTGTAGGCCTTTGATTTGACGTGACCATGTTTTCTTGCCACAATGACTCTGACATTGTGTTTATTTCCTTGCAACAGTTCTGTATTTCAAGTAGCCCAAACATTCAGGCATGCATGCCTGTTGCTTTCGCTTAGCATAACTGTTTTGCTTCCATTGCCCTTCTCTAATACAGTGGTGCCTCGCAAGACGAAATTAATTCGTTCCGCAAGTTTTTTCTTCTTGCGAGTTTTTCGTCTTGCGAAGCACGGTTTCCCATAGGAATGCATTGAAAATCAATCAATGCGTTCCTATGGAAACCGACTTCAGACCAGGTCTGGGGACAGTCTGTCCCCCGACCTCTTCTGAAGGCTGGGGGGGGGGACAAGGGCTTTTCTTCCCACCCCCAGCATTTTAAAAAACCCCGGGACAGCGGAGACTTCAACGCTGTCCGGGGCGATCTTAAAATGCTGGTGGGCGGCAGCAAAGCCTCCGCTGCCGCCCGCCAGCATTTTAAGATCGCCCCGGACAGCGGAGGACTTCTCCGCTGTCCTGGGGCGATTTAAAAGCCCTCGGGAAGGCAGGCAGGGGGGAGCAAAGACTTTTGCCCCCCCCGCCTGCCTTCAAAAGCTGTCCGGGATAGCGGAGAAACGAAGGCTGGCGGCGGGAGGAGGTCTCTCCGCCCCGCCGCCAGCCTTCGGAGGAGGTCCGAGGACAGTGGGGAAGACACGCTGCGCTTCCCCGCTGTCCCGGAGATTTCCCTATGGGCTTTCGTCTTGCGAAGGAAGCCCATAGGGAAATTCGTTTTGCAAAGCGCCTCCAAAACGGAAAACCCTTTCGTCTAGCGGGTTTTCCGTCTTGCGAGGCGTTCGTCTTGCGGGGCACCACTGTACTGCTAAAATGAATGGTGGGGCCTACATGGAGCAAGGGAGCAAGGTGGAGTGGACTTCGAAGTAAAAGTGATGCTGAAGGTAGATGATGAATCGAGACTGAATATACCTCTGATGTTTCTCTTGTTGAAATATCCGGAAAGCACTGAGAGTGCAGGCCCATTAAATCTCTCCTACCTACTGCAGAATTGCACCTTCCATTCAGAGATCTGTGTTAAACATTGCATGTATCATCTTTTTAATAGTCTGGGTTGGTAGGGGGCAAGCAGTGATGTGGGGTAAAAAATTATGAATAGATGCCAACTGCAAATGCAGTATTATGCAAGCTTGGCAGTTTTCATAGTTGTAATTGTTGTTTTTCAAGTAATTATCTCTGGCAAGGAGATAGTCAGCATATCATGCACAAGCCTTTGGATTGCTAAAATGGATTAGTGTGTCAACAGTTTTCAGCACCTCTGTTTTTTTGCTTAAATTTGAACAGTATAAAGAAAGTGCAAGCTATTAACTGTAAGTCTCTCCCAGTAATTCTTCCCCCACCCCCATAATGCAACATTTAAACCACATTAATTTAATAAATGATGATGATGATAAAGGAAGGCTTTGATTTTCATCCCCTCAAATATATCAGGTCAAACTTTTGTGGTGTGTTGGGAATTTTTTTTAAAAAAAACTTTTGTTTACTAAATGCAAGCAAAATAAACGTGATAAATTAGTACATTCTCTAAGGCAGTGTTCCCCAACCTTGGGCCTCCAGCTGTTTTTGGACTACAACTCCCATCATCCCTCGCTAGCAAGACCAGTGGTCAGGGATGATGGGAATTGTAGTCCAAAAACAGCTGGAGGCCCAAGGTTGGGGAACACTGCTCTAAGGTATCAGAACTTGCCTCCAAGCAAATTATTCTAATTTGCGTAGGATTTTAGTGTTTGGAAAACCCACATCACTGAGGGCAAGGAAGGAGGAGAAAAACCGATGGAACATGTTGTGGCCTCCCCTAACACCCTTTTATTTCCCCCCTACTTGTGTGCAGGTCCATGGTGGTATTGTGACGCCCATCGGAGGGGAAAGCGAGCACGAGAAGACAGGGTGGGGGCCTGCGCCTGTGAAGGATGCTGAAGAAAAGCAACCTGGTTCTCTGGGGCGTGGTGCTTTTTGTGGCCTGGAACGCCCTGATCCTCTTCTTCCTGTGGACTCGGCCTCAGTCCTCCTCTGACCACAGCCGCCTCACCGAAGAGGTCATCCGACTGGCCCAGGACGCAGAGGTGGAGCTGGAGCGCCAGAAGGACCTCCTGCATCAAATCTACCGCTACAGCGCTCTCTGGAACAGGAGGAAGGCTACTGAAGCCAAAAGGCTCCACCTCTCAGTGGCGTCCTCCGCCCCGCCTTCGACAGCCGCCCCCTTGCCCCGTCGCAGCCAAATCTCTCCAGACGCCGTCCTGCCAGTGCTGGTGATTGCCTGCGATCGCAGCACGGTCCGCCGTTGCCTCGACAAGCTGCTGCATTACCGCCCCTCCAAGGAGCGCTTCCCCATCATCGTGAGCCAGGACTGCGGACACGAGGAGACCGCCAGGGTCATCGCCTCCTATGGAGACGCCATCATGCACATCAAGCAGCCCAACCTGAGCGACATCCCTGTGCCCACCGACCACCGCAAGTTCCAAGGCTACTACAAGATCGCCCGGCACTATCGCTGGGCCCTGAGCCAGGTTTTCCGGAACTTCAAGTACCAGGCGGCCATTGTGGTGGAAGATGACCTGGAAGTCGCTCCAGACTTCTTTGAATACTTCCAGGCCGCTTTCCCGCTCCTGCTAGCTGACCCCACCCTTTGGTGTCTCTCTGCCTGGAACGACAACGGCAAGGAGCAGATGGTGGACGCCAACCACCCGGAGCTCCTCTACCGTACGGATTTTTTCCCCGGGCTGGGCTGGCTCCTGCTGTCCGACCTGTGGGACGAGCTGGAGCCCAAGTGGCCCAAGGCCTTCTGGGATGATTGGATGCGACACCCTGAGCAACGGCAGGGCCGTTCGTGCATCAGGCCCGAAGTGTCGCGCACCATGACGTTCGGCCGCAAGGGCGTGAGCCATGGTCAGTTCTTTGACCAGTACCTGAAGTTCATCAAGCTCAACGACCGCTTCGTGCCTTTCACCCAGATGGACCTCTCTTACCTCAAGAAGGATGAGTACGAGCGCTCATTCCTAGCCCAGGTCTACGGGGCCCCTGAGCTACGGGTCGAGGAGCTGCAGGGTAACCAGCGCCGGGAGCTGGGCACTGTCCGAGTGCAGTACACCACTCGCGACTCCTTCAAGGCCTTCGCCAAGGCCTTGGGGTCATGGACGACCTCAAGTCCGGAGTGCCCCGTGCCGGCTACCAGGGCATCGTCAGTTTCCTCTTCAGAGGCCGCCGCGTTTACTTAGCACCTCCTTCGGACTGGACAGGCTACGATCCTAGCTGGAGTTAGCAGCTGACGACCCTTAAGCATGTTGGACCCTGTTGTCAAAGGGGTGCTTGGAGTTGGGAGTGGGGGGCGGGGACAAAACTCTGTATTTTTCTTTTCCTGTGTGGCATTCGAGTGCATTCCAGGGATGAGGGTGGTTTTGTGCACTTAAAATTATGGGGTAGGAGGGGCGGGGTTGCGGGGGTTATTCCGATGCCCCAAAGAGGGGGTGAGGTGGAGCGTTCCGAGTGCTCTCTCCGTTCTACCCTCCAGTGCCTATTCTCCTTTTTTTTTTTTTTTTTGACGTGGTGGTCTGTTCACTCATTAGATTCCTTGGTGGCTTCTCCAAGTCGGTGTGTTTTTGAGGTCAAAGCCCATGCTAAACCAAAGCAGCAACCCTTCGAGGTTTTCCCAGCTTCGTTGAGCTCACGGAGGCCTGCACAGCTTGCGGCCCAGCAAGCCAGGTACAGCTCCGCAGGCACACAACATGGCTTGATAACTTCCCTGTTCCCCGTATGCAGGCAAGCAAAAAAATTGCTGACCTCCTGGTAGGTCGCTTTGCCTAGCTGGTGTGTTGCATTCCGCCTGGTGGGTCGCAGTTTGTGCAGGCCTGAGCAATAGGGAGGAAATGAGGGCCTTTTCTCCCCTCTTGACTGCCTGTTTCTTTCTCATATGGACATAGTTGAATGCTAGCTTTGCAAACAGGAAACTCCTTTGGACGTTCAGTGAGTCCCTTGGAAGGACCACTTTTATTGACCATATTGGCCATTTTTACTTGGGTCTCCTGAATAACTCATTCTTGAACTGTGTTCGATGGGAGGTAAGGTGCGTGCACTGATAAAGGCGATGTGAGGATTGCTCAGGTGAGGCGAGTGTCTAAATCTCCACTTGTTTTTACCTGGGTAGTAAGGAAACGGTGGCATGGGGGGAGATGTGCTTGGTTGCCAAAGGAGGTTCTTGTCAGCTGGTCCTTACTGTAAGCTATGGCGACTGAAATCCTGACGGGCTGGGCCATTTCAGATGGCAGGTGGGGGATTAAATTTGAAAACTCACCCACATGAAATTCCCCTTATATCTGCAAGGCTAGCATGTCCAGGAGAAGGTCTTGGGCTAGCTTTTTCCGTGACGTGTGTGAAGGAGCATTCGAACCCCCACTTAGTCAGAAATGGTACTGTCTTGAGCACCTATTTGCTCTCAGTTATGTTTTGTGGCCACCATTATATAATAGCTACATGACATCTAAAGGGAGGTTGGTTTAATTCTGGCGTGATGCCACGTTCTCTTCCCAGGTTGAGTGAGGAAACTTGTCCCCAACGGCTGCCTTAATTCGCCTTGGGTTTTGGGGGGAGGGGCGGTCCCTAAATTCAGCCCCACCACAGAGGTGGCTTATCCCTCAGTAGCATTTCCTGCAACTGGTTGTCATATTAGCACTGATCCACCACCAGGTCTGTGGGAGCAACGGGGGCAGAGGTAGAATCCCCGAGTCAGCAGAACACACCATGGGATGAGCCCAGCCTTATTTAGCAGTGCAGAAGCTTCTTTCCCCATTCTTGCCTCTAGAAGGCGCTGCTGAGCTGCTCCAGGGCCACTAGATAAAGCATGGAGAAGGAGCTTCGGACCTCATATGGCCAAAATTCAGACCACACCAAAGGGTAGTATTTTGTTTGTTTCTTTGGATGCTGTATTACTTTTTGTCTTTTTTATATAAAAAAAAAACCTATTCAAACTCTCCATGGTGAATGAAGAAAGAAATACGGGCTTGTATTCAACATAGCACTAAGGAGATGGTTCTGCCAATGCAACTATTTCTTCTGGTCCAACAGAATGATCTCCCCTGTCCTCCTCCATCCCTGTGTGCTGTTGTGGGTTCTCCTAACCCTCTGGAGCAGATATGGAGAGGGCGTGGGGAGGAGAGGGGAGAAAGTCCTATTGCGCTAGCTGGGATCCTTCTGCTGGCTTCCAGTGGTTCCACAATTTAGTTGAACACGGCCCCTTGTCTCTGTTTTGGAATTCCACTTCAGTAAGGAATTTCTCTCCTGCGGCCAAGTTCAGCACAATGGGCGTGGGAGCCCTTCCTTCCGCATCTCTTGTTTTCCTAGCTGGTGCAGATGGAAGAACAGGAGATGATGCCTCGGGGGAATGATCTTGTTGCATCTATTTAATTATGTTTCGTTAGTACTTCCTTGAAAAAGCAGTATTGCTACTGGGATCGTGAGAGAAAGACGTCTCTTCCGTTGAAAACCCTGATCATGAGATTATTATTTTCTTTTTGAAAGGGTGATCCATCTTGGGTTTCTTTCAGAGGAGGAACCTCTGTGAGGGGATACACATTAGTGAGGTTTGGGGGAAAATATTCCGTTCGAAAGGGTTTCACTTATGAATGGGAGATTCTCCATTGAAGGCAATGGCCTTCTCTTCTCCCCTTGAATGGGTACCTGTGGAAACTCACTGACAAGACCATAGGAGGGTGAAAGAGAGCATGCGGTGATGGTGAGTTGCACTCTCAGTCGGTCCTGCACCCTTCTTTGAAATTTGCTTGAATTGGGGGTGGCAGGGAGACATCAAGATGAAAATGAGGAGTAGCTCGAGGACTCTCTTTTAGTTTGGGGTTCACATTCCTAGACACAAACTCATCTTCAGTGCAGGGAAGGAAGCACCTTGAAAGATGACCTCTTTGACCAGTGAAAGGCAGTTAGTGGGTTTGGGGGAAGGAGGAGCACATTCTGTCCCTATGCTTCCCCTTTCTGTCTTTGGGGACACAAGCAAAGGCCCCTGAATTAGAATGGGAAGGAGAGAACGGGTGAAGCTGTCTCCATCCTCCCCCTTTTACCTTGCCTGTGTATCTACCCTTCTTCCTCCTGTCCAGGCAGGAGTTGGTATTATCACCTACCTGTAGAATTCTGAAGATTCAGCCAGTGGGTGGGACACTGTTTTTAGGGAACTGACTCTACCTTTAACGCCAACGCAAGGGCCTGACATTGAAGACTTTCTCTGTCCTTCCCACCCAACCCTTTGTTTTGGATGGCACAGGTCTGTCCATCCAAACCATCTATGGCCTGAACTCTTTCTTGTGGCATGTGGTCTGTGTTTTGTGTGAACGTCCTAGCTCACAGTGCTACTACCTCCCTTTCCATTCCCAGAGAGAGTGCTTCAGGTGAAGGGACTTGAGATCAGCTGAGATGGCATTGGCCCCAGAAGAACGTTTTGGGTCAGTCGGGGAGAATCCGCCAGCATCTTCAGTTCCCTCCTTCTCTCCCAAGCTCCCTTTCCGCTCCTGGAATGGTCCGTTTTGAAATTCCAGCTGAAAGTAAAAAGCTTGTGAAATTTTGGGGTGGTTGAACTCTTTAAGGTGTTTGCTAGAGAGATGCTGTTTTTAATGTCCAAATTTCAATTGGTGAAATGTTTGAAGATGCAAAAACTTATTTTCCACAGCAAAATAAAAGCCGGTCCTTTTCAAACAGCTCCTGTCTTTTGTGTCTTTGATCTTGCAGAATCGCTCGGTGTCAATCCTTCAGCGTTTCACGAGAGCCTGTAACAAAGGTCTGGCGGGGAGCAGGCAGGGAATGAGCGTTGCCTTATTGGTTCAGACCAAAGATTCATCTAGTTCATTGTTCTGTCCCAAAGTGGCTGGCTAGTTGCTCCTGGACAGTTCAGAAGCGGGATGCAATCGTGATTTATTACACCTGCCCTCTTGTTCATTGGCAGCGTAATGGGTCCAGAGGCAGCATACATCTTAACTTGACAGCTCCATTATACTTTGAATATGGAGCTTACATACCTAGTTAACATAGCTAACAAGAGCCACTGGCTAACCTATTCTCCATCCTCCTATTGAGTAAATATGCCTCAGGTGGAAGAGGCATCTGTATAATTGGCACTGACGTTTGAAATGTGATGTAACATGAATAAAACCTGCAGCTTTCTCACTCATGTGGCTACATGTTGAGGTTAGCTATGTGGGTAGCTCCTTTCCCATATACTTTTTTCACTGGAAATCTATTTAAGAAAAGACAAACATGCACAAGCGGACAATGAAACAAAAGAATTGCCATCTACAGTCACAATAAATATAGATCTATTCATATTTACACTTAATGTATTGACATATGCTCTCCAAATCATAGAACTGTAGAGTTGGAATGTCTGAATAGGTATTCAAACAAAGTTGGTGTTTATAGAAAATAAGTTTGAATGTGACAAGGGTATTAAGGTGAATATTTACCCTTCTAAATCTCTTAGCACCTGCAAAGGCTTGTAATTTCCATTTTGTGTCGTGCTGATTGCTCCCGTATTACAAGAATATAATGTAAAAGTATATGAACATTTGCAAAAATCAAGGCTTTCACTGATAATAAGAGGTAGTATGGACAGCAACTTCAGACCAAAATGGAAATATTGCTGGACAAGCCCAGATACCTAGGCAGTTCCTGATGAACACTCAAGAGGCCTTGGCAGAGCAGACCAGTTGAGGCATCACAGGAATGGGAATAAGTGCCTGAATAACTTCATGGGTATATTTTATATATACCTCCTCTGTTCCAAAAAGCAGTACAAAACCTTCCATTCTTTGCAATCAGGAGCTTATGCAAAATATGCCAATACATGCAAGTCTATCGTTTAATCCAGTTGTCAAAACAAACAAGAAGATTCCCTTCATTTGAAAGTGTATGTTTAAGCAGAAACTTTGGTGCTTAGACCTCTGCAAACATCTGGATTTGTTAGGCGGTGTGACCTGCATTTTTCATCTCATGAAATCAGTTTCCCCTCTCAAAGCCTCCCAGATTCTGTGTACAAGTAGGCTTTCTCCCACCCATTCAAAAGTTGACAGGGTTGCCATTTGTAATTAAGGAACTGATTTCCGCCCTGGATCACAGATCTCTTTGTGTTCCAAGGTGTTCCTTTATTTCAAATGGGAATTACTGTGTTTTCATAGGCAGTACCAGCAGTAGAGTCATGAAACCTGGGGCAGCATCTGACTTGGCCAGCTTTTCTTCATGTGTTTCTCTAGAATACCTGCAGTAGCCTAAGAAGATGTGGCAGCTGCCCATGAAATACCTGCAGGATACGACAAATGGGTTTCTAGGGAGGGGAGGGAGAGGGGAGAGGAAAACAAGCTTAGGCCTGTATGTGAGCACTGCTGCTGTTATAAAAGAGAGAACCGAAGGTGATTTAAGGGAAAGAGTTCCTTGTTCTTTACCAGGAAGGAACAGCAAAGGGGATCAAGAACATTTCAAGTTAAAAGCAGTTATTCTCTCGCACGCACACCCCACAACAAAATGCAAATGGAACAGATGCAGGTTATGAATGCTTTGCCAACAACAGCAAAACTTCTGGAATGGCTCCTGCTGGATCTTCCAGCAAATTGTTTTGTTTCCTTTCTCTGTGTATTTCAGTGACAGTTCAGGAGAGGGGGCTGTTCTTTTTTCCCTCTTTCCCGCCCCCGACCCCATCCTTCCCCTGTTGCAACTCCTGCCTGCTTGAATCATAGAATCATAGAGTTGGAAGAGACCACAAGGGCCATCGAGTCCAACCCCCTGCCAAGCAGGAAACACCATCAGAGCACTCCTGACATATGGTTGTCAAGCCTCTGCTTAAAGACCTCCAAAGAAGGAGACTCCACCACACTCCTTGGCAGCAAATTCCACTGTCGAACAGCTCTTACTGTCAGGAAGTTCTTCCTAATGTTTAGGTGGAATCTTCTTTCTTGTAGTTTGGATCCATTGCTCCGTGTCCACTTCTCTGGAGCAGCAGAAAACATATATCTTCTTCTATATGACATCCTTTTATATATTTGAACATGGCTATCATCACCCCCTTAACCTCCTCTTCTCCAGGCTAAACATGCCCAGCTCCCTTAGCCGTTCCTCATAAGGCATCGTTTCCAGGCCTTTGACCATTTTGGTTGCCCTCCTCTGGGCACGTTCCAGTTTGTCAGTGTCCTTCTTGAACTGTGGTGCCCAGAACTGGACACAGTACTCCAGGTGAGGTCTGACCAGAGCAGAATACAGTGGCACTATTACTTCCCTTGATCTAGATGCTATACTCCTATTGATGCAGCCCAGAATTGCATTGACTTTTTTAGCTGCCGCGTCACACTGTTGGCTCATGTCAAGTTTGTGGTCAACCAAGACTCCTAGATCCTTTTCACATGTACTGCTCTCAAGCCAGGTGTCCCCATCTTGTATTTGTGCCTCTCATTTTTTTTGCCCAAGTGCAATACCCTACATTTCTCCCTGTTAAAATTCATCTTGTTTGTTTTGGCCCAGTTCTCTAATCTGTCAAGGTCGTTTTGAAGTGTGATCCTGTCCTCTGGGGTGTTAGCCACCCCTCCCAGTTTGGTGTCATCTGCAAATTTGATCAGGATGCCCTTGAGTCCATCATCCAAGTCGTTGATAAAGATGTTGAATAAGACCGTGCCCAAGACAGAACCCTGTGGCACCCCACTAGTCACTCTTCTCCAGGATGAAGAGGAACCATTGATGAGCACCCTTTGGGTTCGGTCAGTCAGCCAGTTACAAATCCACTGAGTGGTAGCATAGTCAAGACCGCATTTTACCAGCTTCTTTACAAGAATATCATGGGGCACCTTGTCGAATGCCTTGCTGAAATCAAGGTAGGCTACATCCACTGCGTTCCCTTCATCTACCAGGCTTGTAATTCTGTCAAAAAACGAGATCAGGTTAGTCTGACATGACTTATTTTTCAGAAATCCATGCTGACTATTGGTGATCACAGCATTCCTTTCTAGGTGCTCACAGACTGTTTGCTTAATGATCTGCTCCAGAATCTTCCCTGGTATTGATGTCAGACTGACTGGGCGATAATTATTTGGGTCCTCTCTTTTCCCCTTTTTGAAAATAGGGACAACATTTGCCCTCCTCCAGTCTGCCAGGAGTTCGCCTGTCCCTTCTGCCGGGACGTCGTCCAACCAGAATCTCTAAAAGACAAAAACAACAAGTGAGATGTTGCCATTGTTGGTGCTTGACAGCCTGTTTTATTTACTAATTCTATTTCATAAAAAGTTATGCACTGCTTGAGTGTTTAAAAAGCCCTCGTAGCTGTTTGCAAAAAGATAAAACCATAAAAATCCAGAAAATTTTCCACCTATGCTGTGAAGCACTACAAAAGTTAAAATATTAAAACATATTAAAATTGCCACCACTTTCTAAGCATCTGCATAGACTTGTCTCACCAGGAATGTTTTGAATCAGGTGCCAAAAGTACAGTGAAAGTGCCTTCTTGATCTCAATAGGCAGGGAGTTCCGGAGTTTAAGGGCCTGTCACTCACTAGCCCTGGGATCTCCAGTTTGGCTCCGCGAAAATCTTGCTGGTGGGAATAAAATAGAATAGAAATATGAGTGGGGCAGCAGAGGAAAGTATCAAGATTCCAAGCGTCCGAGTTGGAACCGCTGGCAGAATCGGACCCGCATATCGTGATCCAGCTTCGCCGCTGACCTACCGCCACCGTGTGGCAGAACCAGGGTAGGGCAGCTGTTTTGCTTGGAAAGCTGAGCTGCAAATATGCAGAAGCACACGCACGCGCACAAAGGCAGGTTCACACGTTACGCGCGCGCGCCCATTTGTACATGTTCCTGTGCCTCTCTCCGCGCCTGTCCTTCACGCCCTGCAGCCGCGTCGCCCGGTCCGATTAGCAGGATTGCCACCCTGCACGCATTAATCTGAGAGTAATCCCTTCTGAACACCGAGGAGCTTCCAAGTCAACACGGATAGCATCGACCAGCTGCACGACGACGAGCGTGGTTTAATTCCCATCTGTCTGCAAAAAGCAATATATATATATATGTTTGCAAGAAGAAAAAACCAGAAAAATCCAGAAAATTTTCCACCCATGCTTTAAAGCATTACAAAAGTTAAAATATCAAAACATATTAAAATTGTCACCACTTTCTAAGCATATATATATGATTGCCTCCCCCCTCCATGCTAAATTGGTCAGTTTTACAGAACGTGGCTGGAATGCGTTGCTTTAGCGTTAGCAACGTGCCTTCAACGTCATCTTTTCTGTTGAGTCAACAAATGTGGAATTTGGAAGGCGGAAAAGCAAAGAAACGAAACTGATCGCGGAGGCGCTTATTTGCTGTGACTAAAAACGGCAAGTGCGCTCCTTCGATAGCTCAGCTGGTAGAGCGGAGGACTGTAGAATGCAAAAAGCCGTCATCCTTAGGTCGCTGGTTCGATTCCGGCTCGAAGGACATTCTGTTTTTTCCCCTTTTCTATTATAAATGCCCCACCAAATTCCAGATGCATTCTCAATTTAATTCACAGGTGATCAGAGTGCACTGCAGGCTGAGGGAATAAAAAGTCTCCCCCCCCCCCCCCGCAAAAAGGCCCCGCCACTGGAATGCATTTTCTTATAAAGGCATTACGACCAGAGAACCTGGTAACAGAAATACCTTTAACTGTTAGTCTCCGCTGGGTCAGATCTCACATGTTTCTCTGG